GAAAGAAATCTAACCGGTTGCTTGTCGTTTGGTTGTGCGATATGGCCATAAACATTCGGGGAGTTCGTCTGGCCATTTTCCCTTCTTGTCGAAAAGGATTTCTTGAGGCAGTCGAGAATCATCTTGTTGGATGCTTCGGCCTGCTCATTGCCTTGGGGATACCTTGGCATGTACATGTGCTGCTTAATGCCATATTTTAGGAAGAACTTTGCCAAATCTTTGCTTACGAATTGCGGGCCGTTGTTTGTGACGATGTATTGAAGGATGCCAAATCGGCCAATGATGTTTCTTCATATGAAGTGCTTTATGTCTGTTTGAGTTGTGGTTGTCATGGGTTCTACTTCTACCTACTTGGTGAAGTAGTCAATTACCACGATCATCATGCATCTGCCCTCAATAACGGGCGACATTGGCCTTACCAAATCGATTGTCCACTACATAAATAGCCAATGACTCGTCTATTGGTATAACTCGCTGGCAGGCAGTGTTGGTACTGATTTGTAGCGTTGGCAGTGGTTGCACTTTTGTACTAACTCCTTAGCGTCTTGATGCATAGTAGGCCAATAATATCATACGTGAAGAGTCTTTTGTGCTAATGATCGACCTCCGGATTGATTTCAACAAAGACCTTCATGGATTGAACTTATAACCTTTAGGTCGTCGAGAGGGGCTAGGCATCAGAGATGTGGTTTAGTGTAAAATCTTCGAATTAGAATGTCGTTCCACATGTAGTAACGTGCCATCTTTGTTTGAAGATTTCTAGACTTCAATTTTTCCATAGGGAGTGTGCCATTAACCAGGTAGTCTATAATGCAATCTTGCCAGTTTAAAGTTGTACTAACATATGACACCTCGGCTGTTGGCTCCGCCTCTATGCTTGGCTTGTCTAGATACTCCACCAGAACAGAGCATTTGAGTTAGTGGTCAATGACGGAGCTTAGTCCGGCTAGCGCGTTTGCGTGGGCGTTGTCTGCCCGCGGAACTTAAGTAAGGGTGTAAGCTTGAAACTCTTCTAGTTATTTTTATACCTTCTTTAGGTATTGCGCCATTTTTAGATGTTTTACTGTGTACTCCCCAGTAGTTTGGTTGGTGATTAGTGAGGAATCAGAATGAATTGCAAGTTTTTTCACTGCTAAGTTTTTTGCTATTCGGAGGCCTGCTAGTAAGACTTCATACTCTGCTTCATTGTTGGATGCTTTAAAGTCTCAAGTGATCACCTGCTCAAGCATCAAACCGTCTGGGGTGTCAAAGACCACGCTTGCTCCCGAGTCCTTGTAGTTTGATGCGTCGTCGTCTTGTAAATGCTAGAAGTCTTCATCAGGTGAAGTAGGTGTGGCTAAGGCGTGCTCAGTTGCCTCCGAGATGTCGTTAGGTTGCTCTGTTGTGTCGCCTAGGTTAGGCATAAAAACATGGTAGGGAGCCATGAAGCTGTCATTGGGTCGCTTTGTTGCATCGCCTAGGCTAGGCGTGAAAGCACTGTAGAGAGCTGTAAAGCTGGGGCTATGTTACACACAATATGAGATGCTCAACTGCAAGTATTAGGCTACTAAGGAGCTGAATTATGGAGCAAGGTTCGGTTGGGGCATGTAACGCGCAGCAGGATGTGGTGCTTAACTGCTAGTACATGTTGCTCCTATGTAGAATCTTTTGAGGCAACGAGAACAAAACTTGTTTCCGAGTGTGTCCTTCTAGTGTTCGTCTACCCTTGGTGCGTCTATTGGGCTAAGTTGCTGCGTTTGTCAAAAAATTTTGCATCCGCCAGTGTCTGCGTCTTTATTGTCGCGTGTCTGGATTAGGGCAAAATAATGTGTTCATGAGGATGATTGCATGCATTTGAAGGTATAACTTGAGCTTCCGGTGCAACAACTGTTGCCAAAGTTAGCTTTTAAATTTCTAGTAGCTAGTTTCTGCATCGAGAAGAGTTTTTGAATTGTGGAAGGTAGTCGGGCCCCCAACTATTCTTATATGAACATGCGCATAGGTCCTCCGCTGCTTCAGGTTTGGATAGTATGGAGGTAATATCAGGTACTCTTTCAAGTCCTTGAATCTGGATCGGAGAGCCTTGTCCCAAAGTGCATGCTTCTCTACCAGAGCGAAAAAGTATGCCAAAATTAGATCTTCCTTCATGATCAATTTTCCGAACAGCAGGTGGTCTGCTAGAAATCTTTTTTGGAAGGTTGCTCTAGCTATCAAATCGTTGCATCCAACTATCTTTGCCTTCTCTGCTTTTTAACCTTTTCAGATAGTTGTGAAGCGACTCCTTTGAGTTCTTGACATTGAATAAGTGGTTAGACTTCTTCTTGATCGAGCAATAGGATGAATATTCTTTGGTGAAAACCAAAGAAAGTTCGTTGAAACTTCGGATGGATTATGGCAGCAGGGTGTAGAACCAATCTTACTCCTCGCCTTGTAGAGTAGTGGTGAATATCTTGCACATGAGATCGTCGTTGTTTTGATAAATGATCATTGCGCTTTGGTAGTGATTCAAGTGTCTCTCCAGGTCTCCATTTCCTTTGAAGGATGTGAAATGTGGCATGCTAAACTTGAGTAGAGGCTCTATTTGCTCAATCTTGTCCGTGAAGGGTGACCTGCTCATGTTGGTCATATCTCGTTGTAGGGCCTTATTAGTGACAACGTTGCATTGGAAATCACATAATCACTTAGTCAAAAGCCTCTCTACTTCTTCCTGAATTTGCCTTTGGTAGGGTAATGGAGCTTTCGACTGCCCCCGTTCTTGACCTGCTAGTCTAAGTTGTTCTTCTATATGCTTGGATCGTCTACACCACGGTGCGGTGCATGTGGTACATCCCTAGCAGGCAAATGAGTTCCTCGCAAGCTTCTGGTTAAACTTAAGCTAGATTGAGTGATTAGGTCTCTCCGTCCTTCATGCTGCCTACTCCAGTGTGAGGTGGTGAATGCTCTTTGTAGGCTTAGCCACTAATAAACACTTCGTATGGAAGGTTATTTATGTTGATTATCAGAGATTGGACCTAACAGTGAGTGTATGCTTGCTCGTGGGCCTAACCGAGAGTGCACGCTCCTCCACGTACTAAGACGAGAGTATACGCTATCTCGGGGGCCTAGTCGAGAGTGTACACTGCCAGGACGCTCAATTCATGGCTGGTCTAATAGTTGTTTGCCGAGATACTGCTGGAGAGGTTCTTCGTCTGCCTATGTCCTATTTCTGGACACCTTGTCAGGGGCACGTTGCATCTCGGTGCACTGCAGGAGCTGATTCACCAAGGTCGTCTAATGTGCGAGGGTGCTCGTCAACTCTATAACTTGTCAAGACAAGTGTTGTTCTCCATTTAGGTTGGAAGAGCTTGGACGAAATGCGTCTCCTTAAGTAGTGGAAGTGTGGTAGACTCCAAATGAGAGATTTGAGTTGGGAAATGTCAAATCTATGGAGAAATGGGGTGAAAATGCCCCATGTTCAATTTTCAGCCTTGAAATTTGGAGCCGGGACGGTTGAACCGGTCTTGGACCGGTTTGGGCTGCTTGGGACACCACGAATGTGGGCTGCTCCATGTGCGGCACGCGTGGGAGTTAGGCCTGGGCTCGGCTCGGATTTGCATTGGGCTCACGCCGAGTCATGACTCAGGTAGACTCATCCTGGGCTTGGGCCCTTGAAGCTTGAAGTGGCACGGCTTAGGCCATCTGGTCATTGGCTCAGCCTTGGAGTGGATTGGGCTTGCGATGGCCTTGGGCCCGCAAGGCCTGGGCTGTTGCTCTTGCAGTGGCTACCTGATTATGAGTATGTTCAACTTGGGCCGAGCTGGGTTCCCTTATGGCACGGGTCTGGGCTCGACGCTACAAGGTGGCATAGGTCTGGGCTTGAGGCTGCAAGGTGACTCATTCACCGTGGGTGTGGGCCACGCCGAGGGTTGCCACAATGGTGGCTACTATGGTGGCTGCTATGGTGGTACCCCCATGGGGGTGATGTCGCTCCATTCATTGCCTTGTTAAGCCTTGTAGATTGTCGTGGTCCAAATTCTTGAATGTTGGAATTTCCATTCGTCGTGGTTTTCGATTATTTTGTCATTGTACTTTTCTTTTATGTTTATTCAAAGAATTAAAAAAAAATTTCAAGAAATAAGAACGTACGAAAAATCTACGAATGAACAAAAAATTAGAAACCTTAAATGCGAGAGTCTTCTACAAGAGTGTGAATCAAGATTCTCAATGAAAGTACCAATTTATGGATGCAAATTTCCACCTTCTTCTTCTTGGACAAAAATACACCTGCAAAACAATTAACACCTAAGATCAAGGCCTAGATCTTCACGAGCCCACAAGGAATGAGGGGGCTTTAGCTGAAAAATCACTGATATTAAAGTTAGAATTTGAGGGAAAAATGTTTAGAGAATTTTAGAAGAGAATTAAACTGAGGTTTTTTTGAGAAATGATGGACTATATATAGGGGTGCGGCTAGCGTTATTAGGAGAATTGAGACCGGCCACATATGGTTGATTTGTGGGATTGATTGCAAGATATTATGTGAAATAATATCTGGTAATTAATTTGGTAATTAATACCAATTTGAAAAAAATAATTGGGAGTTACCTTGTGAGTGAGGATTTGATGAGGAGTGATGAGAAAGTTTTAAAAGAATATCCTTGTGATCACCTTTGACCTTGATTGAGCAGTTATTGTTCGTTGCATGTGCATGGAAATTCCGGTGTGTCTTAAGAGTAATTTTGTCTTTTTACCTAAAATTTCACATGTCAATAAGACATAGTTAATCTATCCATTCCAGAAACCAGAAAGACTCACAGAGAAAAGTTTCACTGGAGCAAAATTGTTTGCCATCTTGAAATATTTCAACGAAAATGTCGTCGGAGTCGTGAAACGTTGAAAATGTCGTCGGAGTCGTAAAAGTTTCACTTGCATCTTTAATTTGCTCTTCAGTACGCTATAAAAATACGTATTTCTAGAAACCCGAATTATATTTGGATTCCGAAGGACCCGGCCCAAGTAATAACCCCAACACAAACACCCACGAAATTTTATGCGCGCATCTTTTCTAATCCCCATCGTCTCCTCCACGAGCACCCCTTTCCCTCTATTTCCCAAACCCTAAATTCCCAATTCCTCTAATTTCAAAACCCTAACAGCCCTTCCCTCTCATTTCTCCGGTGACCCCGCATTCTGCAACTGCTAGATTTCTCTTCCGAATTCCAGGTAAAAACTTAAATCTGTGATTAAATTCTCTGATTCCAGTTTGTTCTAAATTATCAAGTTTCAGTTAATTCGATTAAATTTCATGTTAAAACTTTGAAATTACTTCTGCAATTGGAATTAGCAAAGTTCACGTTTCGTTTTTGAGATTTGGAATCACTTTCTGGAGTTCAAAATTTGAAAAGCATTGAGAATTGCTAGAATTTGACTGGGTTGTACTGTTTTCCAGGCGAAAAAACCCTAGCCATGGCCTCCTACAAGGACGCAGACCCTTCCCTAGGGTTCCTAACCCGAAAGGACACTGAGGTCAAACTCCCACGACCCACTAGGGTTAAGAACAAAACCCCAGCCCCCGTCCAAATCACTGCAGAGCAAATTCTTCGGGAGGCACGTGAGCGTCAGGAGGCTGAAATTCGACCTCCCAAACAGAAGATAACTGATCCCACTGAGCTTGCTGATTACCGTCTCCGTAAGCGCAAAGAATTCGAGGACCTAATCCGGCGTGTGAGGTGGAATGTCAGCGTCTGGATCAAGTATGCCCAGTGGGAGGAGTCCCAGAAGGACTTCAAGCGCGCTCGCTCGGTTTGGGAGCGTGCCCTTGAGGTCGATTATCGAAACCACACCCTGTGGCTCAAGTATGCGGAGGTGGAGATGAAGAACAAGTTCATTAACCATGCGAGAAATGTGTGGGACCGTGCTGTTACGCTCTTGCCTAGAGTTGACCAGCTCTGGTACAAGTACATTCACATGGAAGAGATTATAGGGAATGTTGCTGGTGCTCGACAGATATATGAGAGGTGGATGAATTGGATGCCGGACCAGCAAGGCTGGCTCTCCTTTATCAAATTTGAACTTCGCTATAATGAAGTGGAGCGTGCTAGAGCAATTTTTGAGCGGTTTGTACAATGTCATCCAAAAGTTGGTGCTTGGATTCGGTTTGCCAAGTTTGAGATGAAGAATGGTGAGGTTGCGAGGGCAAGAAATGTATATGAGAGAGCAGTGGAGATTCTAGCCGATGATGAGGAGGCTGAACAGTTATTTGTGGCTTTCGCTGAATTCGAAGAACGGTGCAAAGAAACTGATCGAGCAAGGTGTATTTATAAGTTTGCACTTGATCATATACCCAAAGGAAGGGCCGATGACTTATATAAGAAGTTTGTGGGTTTCGAGAAGCAGTATGGAGATAGGCAAGGGATTGAAGATGCAATTGTGGGAAAGAGGAGGTTTCAGTATGAAGATGAGGTTAGGAAGAACCCTCGTAATTATGATGCGTGGTTTGATTATATAAGGCTAGAAGAGAGTGCAGGGAATAAGGATAGAATTAGAGAAGTTTACGAGCGAGCAATTGCTAATGTTCCTCCGGCTCCGGAGAAGCGATATTGGCAACGATACATTTATTTATGGTATGTGGTACATATACTAAGCCTTGGTTAGTTAGCGACTGTGCTAATGCTTTGACTTTAATGTGGCTTGATTTGTTTGAATAATATGTTGCTGATTGTTGCTTCTTTTGCAATGTTAGGATTAACTATGCACTCTACGAGGAGCTTGATGCTGAAGACATGGAACGTACTCGAGATGTGTATAGGTAAGCGTCATTTTGTTAAGCTATGTTTTGTTGATGTACCTGAAGATTGTTTTGTTCTTGACGTATTTTTCTTTTTAACTACTATTCAGGTCAATATTGATATGAAAATACTTATGTATAAAATTGGAAATAAATCTTGTTCATCTTTCTCGGTACATGCATTGCTACAGTACACTGGGACTGACAAAAGGTTTAACTGGATGTATATGAGGATAAGCTTGAAAACTATTACCCAAAGAAACTAATTTTTTCTTTTGGGTGAAAAGAAAACTAATGTTTAGTTGAACATTATGGGTATGAAGTTATATTTTTGGTGTTCTTATATGATATGTACCATTTTAGTTTATCATGACAGTGGACTGATGAGCCTTCGGCTTTTTTTGTAGTAAATCATGATTTGTTGTAGTAGTGTTTTAGACATCTCTTTGTTGCACCAACTAATTTGATGGTTTACACTTTGGAGGTTTTTGCAATGCATATTGCGGTTATTTGGTGAAAATATTCATGCAAATTAAAACAAGGATTCACAGTATAAGTTTACATTTGTTACCTTTGACATAGTTAGCATGTGGACACATCCTAAATACTTTGAACAGATTTCTCAATAACTAGAAATTCTTCCAGGGAGTGCCTTAATCTGATTCCTCACCAGAAATTTTCATTTGCAAAAATATGGCTTCTTGCTGCCCAGTTTGAGATACGGCAGCTGAATCTCAAGGGTGCACGACAGATCCTTGGCAATGCAATAGGAAAGGCACCCAAAGATAAGGTAATGTATATTTAGCAAATACACACTCATTTTACAAAGTTCATTTAACAAGTCAAAATGTATAGCTAGCATTCATAATATGCTTCCTTAAAACAGATATTTAAGAAGTATATTGAGATTGAGCTGAACCTTGGGAATATGGATCGATGTCGGAAGTTGTACGAAAAGTATCTGGAGTGGTCCCCAGAAAACTGTTATGCGTGGACCAAGTATGCAGAGTTAGAGCAATCTTTATGCGAGACAGAACGAACCAGGTCGCTTTTTGAACTTGCCATTGCCCAGCCATCACTTGACATGCCTGAGTTGTTGTGGAAGGTAAGACACAGGAACATCCTTTTTCTAATACAACTTTTATTGTTTGAATTTTGATAGTTTCTTATGGAATATAGTTAACCTTTTCTGCACTTTTGTACTCTTCTATGATGTTTCATTACATCTGGTATAATACCATAGATTTTAGTTGCACCAGTGCCATGCATAGTTATAATTCTTGACTCTTAAAACTTGAATTCGAAGAAATAGCAGAAGCAACTCTGTGCAACGCACCTATTATTCTCTGTTGTATCAAAGTTTTATTCATTGTATATCCTTTCTACTGATTGATTTATCACTAAAGCTAGTTTTGATATGGAGAACATGTTCCTAGCTACTCATTATACCAACAGCGATTCTTTCTAGAAAATCTATGACAAATATATTTGTTGGCTACGGCTGATGTTATTAATTTATGCACTACAGGTTCAAATGACAACATTATATTTGTTACTAATTTGATTGATAATTTGATAACAGGCATTCATTGACTTTGAAATATCGGAGGGTGAATTTGAGAGAACTAGAGAACTTTACGAGAGACTCCTAGACCGGACAAAACACCTCAAGGTGTGGATCAGTTATGCGAAATTTGAGGCATCTGCTATGGTGCAAGATGGCGTGGATTCAGATATGTCCGAAGATCAAGCCCAGGATTATCTCCTTGAACAAAAGAAACAATGTCTTCTGCGTGCCCGAAGTAAGCAGTTGTTACTAGATACAATAGTAATAGAGAGTTGTCTAATTTATATTCCTTTACAGTTGAGAATATCTAACCCTTGTGTTTTTTTTTTTGGGCTTCACCAGGGGTTTTTGAGAAAGCTGTTAACTATTTTAGAACTTCAGCACCCGAGTTGAAGGAAGAAAGAGGTATGTTGCTGGAAGAATGGTTGAATATGGAGGCTAGCTTTGGAGACTTGGGTGATGTTAGCTTAGTCCAATCTAAGCTTCCAAAGAAACTGAAGAAGAGGAGGCCAATAATGACTGAAGACGGCCCTGCTGGGTATGTGATCAACTCGCTCGTTTTTTACATTCCTAAGTTTTTATATTCGTTTCTCATTTATAATTATATATTCATCTCGCTGTAGAGAATCTTTTAGTTACTGAAAAATGGAGCAGAGTTTTAGTTTTCTTGTGTTCAATTCCATATGGCGAGTTCATTTCGTTTTTCCATATGTCAACTGATCTGTGTTGGGATTTGGCAGGTATGAGGAGTACATTGATTACATGTTCCCAGAGGAAGCTCAGACGACAAATCTCAAGATATTGGAAGCTGCCTACAAGTGGAAGAGGCAAAAGGTGTCTTCCGATGAGGACTAGTAAGTTTTTGCATTTTGTAGTTTCGTGTACTGTGTAAATACAGAGAAAAAGCGTCGTACGCCGATTGCTGAGCAAAATGGTTGCTTGGCTGATAATCATCTTGATTTTGAGAAACCATGCTTGATGGTGATAGAGAGAATGTCTAACGAAACTCTTTTTACCGTACCAAAACTCTCGTACTAATTACTGTACCAAACTTTCAGTTTGGCAAAATTTATTACCATTACCGTACCAAACTTCGATATATTGTCAAATGGTTCGGTTGACATGGTATGACAATGGTAATTACCATTTTGTTTTGGGACAAAATCTGTTTTTGTTTTTTTAACCCAATTCAAGGGCACACTTTATTTTTGTATCTTGATCTCATACATTGTAGCTTAAATTCATCTATTATTCATCATTCACAATTCACACACATAATAATTCAAATGATGCATCAAGATTCATGAAAATTAAGCTTATAACCCAAATAAAAGTTACGAACCAAAACAAATAGAAGTTAACAATCCAAATAGAAGTCAAAGTTTCAAACCAAATGAAGATTGGAACTAAACTTCAAAATGTAAAATTCATTAATCAATTCTTCAAGCTTGAGATGTTAAAGCTTTTGGAGGAGGTATTGAACTTATAGAAGATTGAGCTTGTGTCAAGTCTACATTTCAAACAAAGAAAACATATTAGTAGCAAGAAGAATTAAAGTTGAAAACCATTTAATAACAAATTTACTAAAAAAATTAAAGCATATCTTATTTGTTTCCACTTCTTCCATTTCCTTGTAAAATTGAAGCATATCTTCCGTTGGTTTCTTGTAGAAGTTTACTTCATCCGTCCTAAGCTAATCGCTAGTACACACTAGTGCCTCTACCATTTTAGGAGTCAATGATGCCCTGAAAGGGTCCACAACCCTCCTCCTTAGACTAAATGCATTTTCACTAGCAACGGTCGAAGTGAGGATTGCAAAGATATCCATGGCTATTTGTGAAAGAATTGAGAACTCTTTTGTGTTTAATTTCTACCAACTCAAGTGATCAAAGTCACCAACAACAAAGCTAAAATAAGTAGGGTTTTATTTTCAAATTATTGGAATATTATAAAAATATATATTATAATTAATATGTGTTATATAATTATATATTATATAATTTATAAATTATATTATATTTTCGATACGGTATGGTAATAACGTGGTAATTATATCCATTACCAATATCGTACCATGAAATTTCGGTACGGTACAATACCATACCATTACTGATTGGCACAAAAAATTCGGTACAAAATTGGTATGGCACGGTTGGCATGGTAATTTAGCAAAAAAAATTGTACCATGAAATTTCGGTACGGTACAATACTGTACCATTACTGATTGGCACAAAAAATTCGGCACAAAATTGGTATGGCATGGTTGGCATGGTAATTTGGCAAAAAAAATCCACCCCTAGAGAATTCTCTTATTGATGTAAAAAAAATTGTCTCTTGGTACCACTACAGTCTACCATTTATGTTTGTTGTAAGTGAGAAATCTTCAGTTTGAATATGATAAATAAAGAATTAGATATCATTTTGTTTTATCAAAATTTTAATTTATAAATCATTACGGACTTGTTTGAAAGTGATTTTGAAACACCCAAAGAGATTTCAAGTTTCCTCCTTTCCCATTGAGTTAGACATTTAAATAGAGTGTGATTTTTACGGCCACATAATTATTACAGTAGGCATATAGACATTGAAAATTGGACATTAAAACTGAATTAACTGAGGCTAATCACCCCAGATCTCCCATGTGTTACTTTTTTCTTTTCTTTTTTTTAAAAAGACAGATTATCTGGTGACTTCGTAGATTAGCCGGAAAGACTTACAGAGGCAGTCTTCCTCTGGCCACCATTGTGTGGTTCATTAGCATCAAGAATCGAACCCAATACGTACTTTGTGGAATATAGACCTAAAATTTGTCATCAACCATTGAATCATTCCGTGATGATTAATCTCCCATGTGTTACACTCACAATCACATGTTCCATGTCTATTTAATTGGCTACTAATTATAAACGTGGTCTATATTATTAATGATCATAAAAAAGTTAGGTATATGGGATACCTAAACTGCCAAACTGATAGATACCTCAGGTGCCCAAAGGTCAATACTCAAACTATTGACAATGATTCACACAACAAAACCATCAGGAAATACGGGCTTATAATATTCAACAATTTATAAGTAAGAAATGTCATGATGTTTAAAAAAATAATGATGTTATTCGTATTATTTATTTGTACCGTTATTGTATAATATTGGCAAGTAAGATAGACATCGGTCATTTAAATCAATCATAATTTTGATTCAATTAAAAACGAATTAAAAAACCAAAAAAAACAAACGAAAAATCCTAAAACCTAGCAACGTGGACCTAGGTTTCAAGTTGATCACTTTATCTGGCCGGCAATCAATCCCCGCCATGTTCTGTAAGACGGCGGGAAATACCGCACGTGGTAATTACAGAGTGAGTACCAAATTATGCCAAGTGTCAGCCTTTTTGGTCCCCAGTTAGCGCGAATCTCAGACGTTGATTTCCAATGGTTTCCGTTGTAATATTTGGAAAATCAGAAGAATAACCAAAAATCGAAAGAAGCGCCAATTTTTGGTTCTCCACAAAGGTAGGGGTAGGACACAAGAATAACCAGTTAAAAAAACCCAAGGAAATTACAGTTATTTCCTTTCCCATTCTTTCAATTTTTAACTCCCAAAATCCCGCTTTTCTTTTTCATTATTTTTTTGGTTTTTGAGGGAAAAAGATCTTAAATTCTGCTCGAATTGTAATCAAATATTTCTTTTTCCGCTGGATGAAAATGGCATTCCATTCCAGTTTCAGGTAATTTTTGTGGATAAATTATTCAAGATAATTTTATTTTATTTACTTTTACTGCGTGTTCTGCTTTAAAGATTTTCTAGTTCCAACTCGAGAAATATTTTTTTTGTTTGGTTTTATCTTACAGTTTGATATGAGCTAAGGAGCATGATTCAATAATTGTTTAGATAATAGGATTTTAGAAAACAAAAATATTTCCATTTCTTGTTACTCTTTGATGTGATTCTATCATTTACTTATTGTTTTCCTCCATTTACGTAACTTAGATGAATTTAATATAATTATTATATTGTCTGTTTAAAAAAAAAAATAGACAAATGAAATATAATATCAATAAATAAGGCTCCTCATTGTCTAATTTGGAAAAAGAACTTAATATTTTGGCAAATTTACTCTATTTGTTTTTTTGTTGGGAAATGTAAAGGTTATTCTCACATGTTATTTTATTGTTTGTGTATATAAATGTAGTGTTTTCCTATGCAAAACAAAGATGCGTTGAGAAAATTTCACTTTTATTCAAATTTGTTCAACTTTGATTGTCTTAGGTTGTAGAAAGATTATTCAGAGCTTACACAATAGATTTCGAGAATTGAAATCGGTAAATTCCTTCAATTTTAGGTTTGAGCGCTAAAAGATAATTATATGCCCTAAAATAATTAACCATGTCAATAAATAGTATCAAAGTTGAAGAAAATCGAGTAGAATCATCAATAAGAGCTTTAGACTTTAAAGTTTCTGGTATAAGATTTGGTAAATCGTTTCGATTTTAGGTTTAAGCTATAAAGGACTATTATGCCCTAAACAATCAACTTTGTTGATAAATGAGATCAAAGTTGAAGAAAATTAAGTAGAAGTGAGATTTTTCAATGCGTTCTACACAGAAAATTATACATCATTAAAATGTACTTGTGATTTCCATTGTTAGTGTCTTAATTTTTCTTTTACTTACTAAATCTTTAGTTGACCCTGCCATTACGATTGCCTGCACTGCTTGATGAAACAAATGCTATAACTTTCAACTCAATGAAAGAAATATTTAGTGGAACTTGAAGAATCACCAACCCATAGAATGCTTATAATGGTAATGAACTAATAATCCATAAGTGTTTCTCTGTCAATCTTACTCTCTAATCACAACATACATTTTCGTAAGAGCATTTTACTTCTTAGCTTTTCGATACGGATTATGATAATTTTTCTTCCCTTTTATTTGATGAGATTTTATATTTTGTTTGAATCTTGTTCTTGTTTGATTTTCAGGTCTTAGATATGTTGCGTGCAAGACGGATGGAGAACTGTGTTTGTGTGTGGTGATTTTTGAGTATTTGCTTAAGTATCCAAAATAGAGATGATAAAACATCGCTGGAGAGAGCTAGCTAAGTCCTTTAATAATCATGTTGATCCTGAAACAACTGAGCGGCTGAAGAGGACTAAAACAGGTGTAAACTTCTTTCCTCTCAACCTTTGATCTTCGACTAAAATGCCGGTCACTCATTCGATCCATGGATCCCGAAACAGACATTTTATTTTTAGGGAATTTGCCAAATTTCTGTTTCTGCAATGCCATGAAGAAAAAGACCATAACTGAGTACGATTTTCTGGAATTGATCTTCTTCTTTTTTTTTTTTTTTTTTTTTTTTTTTTTGTGTTGATGTGATTCAAATGTAGGGCATCAGTTCTTTTTCTAAAGTGAAACTGCGTTCTAGGGTTATAAAATTATGGCAGTCTGCTTGTTGCGCAAGGAAACCATTAAAAATTGTTACCCTAAATATTATGTGATAATATGAAAATTCGGATGCGTTGGTTGTGTGTTAAATTTGACAAATTTTCGAGTTTTCTCCCCGAATTCGAGAGTCGATCAATATGTTATTCCTTTTTGTTGCCACTTCATTTGATGTTGAAGTTATTTTTTATCTGCAGAAATTGAAAACAATGTGACAAGGATCTTCAAGCTTATAAAAATCGAAGACCAAGGGAAGAAAGATGTAAACCAAAAAGATTTGAAGCAAGAGTCGGAACTTGTTGCACTCATTGAGAACTTCTACCAACAGTACCAGTCACTATATGCTTTATATGATCATTTAGTAGGAGAGTCTGGGAGAATCGTTCATGGCAAGAAAGAGCAAAAAGGTTTTTCCATGTCTCCCCCAAGCTCAGATTCCGAATATTATTCCTCAGAAGACGTTGAAGGTAACAATGCCAGATTGGAAAGAGCTGACAGCATCAAGCATGAACTTAAGAATGAATATTCCGAAGGATCTGGTGATCTGAAGCGAAAATCGGTCTCTGAAAATGGAGAAAAGGAGGCGATAAATTCAGAATATTTGGCAGCATTGAGAAAAATAAAACAATCAGATATTGTAGACAATGATCTAAAGGATGAAGTGGATGAAAAAGTAAGAGAACTCTCAGCTCTTGTCGAAGTGCATGAGGCTCATGGGAATCATTCCTCAGCTCGGGTAAAAGAGTTAGAGGGACAGTTAACAGGCTTTAAAATGGAGTTGGAATCCTTATGCAGCCAGAAAAGAGATTTGGAAGCATGGAAAGAAGGTAAATCTGCTGAAGCTAAACAGCTAGGAGATAAAAATATCGGACTACATGCGCGAATTTTGGAACTTGAGTTAGTTTTAAAAGAAAGAGAGGATGAAATATCTGATTTCAAGAACAAACTCAAGGAAAATGAGGAGAGCTCAGCGTCGAAAATTTCAGACTTGATGACACATGCCGAAAATATGCAACAGGAAGTTGATTTGTTGTGTGCGCAAAAAGGTGAAATGGAGAAAAAGATGGCAAGTAAGAAAAATGAATCAGCGACGCAAGTCAGAGGCTTAAGTGAGCAGGTCAATGCAATGCAGAAGGAATTGAAGATCCTGCACCAGAAGAAAATTGAATCACAAGCACAACTGGATGAGAAGAATAAAGAAATCTCCAAGCATCTGCAACAGATGGAAATTCTGAAAGAGGAATTAACAAAAAAGGACACGGTTGAGAGGAAAATGATGGAAGAAAAAGAAATTTTTCTTGTGAAAGTGAATGACTTGGAATCGGAAGTGAATTCTCTACGTAACAAAAAAAGGAATGTGGAAAAGCAGATTAAAAACAGAAACCATGAGAACAGCAAGTTGAGACAGGAAAATGAGAGTCTTCTTTCTAGAATTTTCAGGTTGGAGAGAACTTTGACTGAGAGAGGGGATGAGATTTACGCTCTTCGTGGAGAATGTGAGCATGGAAAGAACGAAGCTTCTGCTCGACTTATTGAATTCACGACGCAGGTCAGCAATTTGAAACAGGAAATGGATTCCTTGCAGGCTCAGAAAAGCCAGTTGGACTTGCAGATTGAGATACAGAACAAGCGCTATTTGGAAAAACTGACTGAGATGGAAAATCTAAACGATAACTTGATAGTCAAGATTGGCCAAATTGACAGAGATAACCAAAAGTATTTGGAAATACTGAGTGAGAAGGAAAATCAAAACCATAATTTGACAGTCAAGATTTCCGATCAGCAGAAAATTATCAAGAAACATGAAGAAACTTTCAAGAAGTTCAACAAGGAGCATAAACAAGCTAAAATTTGGTTTCCCCAATCTAAGTTAAATGTACAATTTGCCGAAAGGAAGATGGAAGAATTAGCAGAGAAGTACCGAATCAATCTTGAAGACAACGTGCGCCTCTTGTACCAGAGGATCAGGGTAGCGGAACAAATACATAACGAAAACAAGGAGAGCTACAAGAAGTTCAAGGAGATGTACGAGAAAGAAAATGAAGATCTTAAAGAAAAGCTATCAACGTATCAAGATCCAGACAGAAAGATGAAGCAAATATCGGAAACAGCGAAAAGTACATTGCATGGATTGGACTTAGTGGTGCTTAAATTTGAGGAGGGACACAAGAACTTTCAAAACCAGATTGCCAAAATATCGGAGGAGCTTGAGTCTGCAAAAACTTGGGTTAAAGAGAATGCTGGCAAGATCAAACGGTTAAAGCACAATGTAGATTGCTTGACCACACAACTGAATGAGAAGGAAGAGCAAGAACTTGTGTTGAGAGAGAAAGTTTGGGAGTTGGAAGCATCGGCGAGCAAGGAAACCGGAGAGAAGCTCAACTTAATGAAAGAGTTTAGCCAACTTGAGAGTCAGGTGGGAAATCTTGAGAGGGAAGTAAAGTACAAGGATGAAGATTTGTTGAGCCTTGGGGAGGAGAAGAGGGAGGTCATACGGCAACTCTGCGTGTTGGTTGATCATCACCGAAGCCGCTACTATGATCTGAAGGAAGCAGTGTCAAAGAGGTCAGCTGCAACAAGTACTAGAGGCAGCAAGACTACAACTTAGGCCTCTCTTATAACCATTGTTGTGATAATTTTTGTTTGCCATTATAAACCCTATTCGACTCTTGTTCTTTCTTTTTGTACAAGGTAAGTGGATGTGTTGCTCAAAGTGAATTTCACCATCCATGATATACAATGAATTCATGGGATATATACAAGTATACATAATTTGCATTGTTTTTGAGTTAATTAAAAACGAAAGCGATCATTCGATCGTTTTTTCTTTGTTTTGTTATTGTGGGAGGGAGAATTCGAACATAAGATTTATTTCAACATTAGAAGAAATGTATAATTATACTTGTTGTGAACGTCTTTAAATGGAAGGCCTCAGGATCAAATTAGATAAACACCACGTCCAATTAGTGAGTCAATCCTATGTAAAATCAAAATGTAATTTCTCACTTCACTATCGATCATATCAAATATTCTCCAAATTTGTTTTTGGCTTGGTGTCAAATTTGCAATGACTTTTTGAATGTATACGTGGGTCATGCCTTTTACATTTGAACCTTAAACAACAAGGCACCTTCGTTTATGTTCCAATTGAGGTGAAGAACAAACTAGGAGGTTGATGTTGGAAGATAAGATCCTACATCGGATAGATGACAAAATAATATAATTAATATTTGAGACCTTTCACCTCTAATACCACTGAGACCATTTGTGGTACAACACAACACTTAGCAATAGGTGGTTAAGTTGAGACAATATCGGTGATGTTGGTGGTGGACCATGTTGAGCCTATAAAGTTTATCATGTTATCAAAACAAAATATTATTTCGACACATTCTAGGCTTGAATTTTTCTTCTTAAGTTGAGCTTTCAGAAAATTGTACTAGATCCAGCTTAAACGTAACGACCCGTCCCTTTTCGTCACACTCCCCCGAAAACACCGACGCCACCACCATCGTTAATTTCTCGACAACTTCAACCACCAACCACCATCGCTGACTCACCATAACTTCCTAAATACCATCCAACTCCTGTTTAGCGAGATTCAAGGAAGACCTTCTCGCATTAAGCAAGGAGATGAGCTTCAGCGATAGGCCAAGTTTTTCTGAATCCGCACACTTTTTTTCCGAATTCGATAGAAGAGGCCTAGATAGAGGAGGACTTCATTGAAGATTAGTGAGTGGACATTTATTTCAGAAAATGTTTTATTTATCTAAATTTCTAAGCATGCCTAGATAAATATGAATTTCAGTTATATTTTACAGATTATACCGGTATCATGATATATCTTCAAAGATAATTTATGGCATGATTTATGATTATGAGTTAGAAAGATTTTGAGATTTTACTACCAGACTTATGATTTATGATATATACTTTATGATTCATGATGATGACAATTTCAAGAATGTTATTCTTTTATTATACATATCTTGTGACAGCCCGTCTCGAATTTTCGTACCGTAGGGGTGAAATGACGGTTTTGCCCCTAGTGGATAATTGTTGTTTGTGTGGTTACTTTGGGTGCTTGATTGGTTGCATCTCAGCCACACATCCATCTTCATTTCCATCACCCTCTCCCGTTGACTCTCTCTATCCCGTATCCCTGTCTCTCTCTCTCTCTCTCTCTTCTTCATTAGTTTGTACGGACAAGAACCAACGTGCTCGAAAACGTTACGGATCGTGGAAGAAAATCATACCTTTGTGTTCGTGAGCTTCATACGAGTTCAACCATACCCATTTCAGGGTTGTAGGAAGCTTGGTGCGGTCCTTAGGAAGCTCGGGGTGATTCGTTTGAAGGTTTTGGACGTTGGGATCGTGAGTTGCAGGTTTGGCCGGATTTGGTGAAGTTTTTCCGACGAGATTTCGTTGATTTTAGTGCTTGAAAGTGTAAGGTTTTGTTCCTCTAGTTGCAAGCTTCATTTTGGTACCAATTTCGTGAAATTTGGGTGAAAAACGAGTGAGAAATGAAGTTTAGAAGTTTTTCCAGTTTTCCGGTGACGGCGACGGCGCCGGAGGTTGGCCGGAGAAGATGACGGAATATTCCGTCAGTATGGACGGAATATTCCTAACGGCATTAGGTTAACTTTAACGGAATCTGTTAGATTTAACGGAATATTCCTGACGGCTTTAACTGATGCCGTCAGTGTGTCAAGCACGTGCTTGCGCGTGGGAGGCGCATGTGGCCGTGCCTTGGCCGGCGCGTGGGGGCGCGTGTGGTGTCGGAAAATTATTTTAAAAATATAGGGATGTTCATGAGGTTGAGTAGATCACGTTGGTGTATTCACACACCCCATTTGAGCATTGTATGAGAAGTTATTACCTAGCTTGGGTTATGTGCATTAAATTAACATTTTATAGTTGTTTCGCATATAAGTGAAACCTATCCCGAGGACGAGCATAGTCACTCGAGGCAAGGGGGTTACGACCCTTATACATATCAGTGAGTGGGCTTTTGGTTTTCCATATATACCTATATACTTGTGATTTTCCCAAAAAATGAAATGAAATGTCTATATGTTTTAAATGCCATGCATTGCGTTGCCTATTTATTTTTGCATTAGTAGTTGCCTATATGTATGTTTAGTGCTACGGACGTACAGGTAAGTGCCAGGTAAGTTATGGTTTATGTTTGTGATTAGTAGTGATGTGAGATACGTAGAGAGCTCATAACCTGCACCCCCGGTGTTAGTGCTCCCGCCCAGAGTAGGGCCCAGTTCTTCACGTGATGTTCACTTCCCGCACCACACGCTCATCTTGGATCCAAGTTAGGTGCACAGTCCTGTCGTACAAACCACTTTAGATGGTTCCGACTCGTAGGTGACCAACGATTATTCACCCAGTCTTCACGTGATCGTAGTACTTGAGCGTACTTATTTACACCCAGTCATGTCATACAGACCACTTTAGGTGGTTTCGACTCGTGTGCAGGTATAGTTAGTGAGTTGTGGATTTGAGCTCTAGATTCAGCCGTACGGATCACGTTAGGTGACTCCGGCTGACAGACTACAGGGCATTGATTGACATTACCTGAGTACTTGCATTTTATTTGGAGGCATTCGACATGGCATATTTCTAAGCATGTTTTATATATATGTGTATATTCTATTTTCTGGGAAACTATACCGGTTTTACGGCGAGGGGTTAGAACTTTGTTAATGAAATGGTTTTGAAAAGATTTGTTTTTGCCTACTCACACTTTCTGTTTTGCGCCCCTCCAGGTTCTAGTTTGGATAGCTCTTTTGGTGGCTCTCGAGGAATTCTCGGCATATTTAACAAACTATCACCAGTGTAGGACCACCTCTGGGTGTGTTTATTTAGTGTTTGTTCCCTCGGACTGCACTAGGTCTTTTATGCTCTAAATATTGTTTTTCACACTTACGCTTGCACATGTATGTTTTCTACTTGGTGTATAGCTTGGTTTTTATTTATTTGTACTTTTATTATTATTTTCAGCTTCCGTACTGTGCACATGGTTACGTCACCCTCGCATGACGGCCAGCACGCCCTGATTTTGGTCGGGGTGTGTCATATCTTGTGGCACGTATACACCCATACATACTTAAAGTATTATTGTACGCTTCCACGACTTTGAGACATATCTTACACGTGTATGAATATTTTCAACTTGTCCACATTGTGACATGTCCTTCCGGTTTGTCATTGCCTCGACATTACTTGACAATGACATGATTATATTTCCAACTTACACTAGCTACGCCTAGTGTATGATTATATTTCCAGCTTACACATGTATTGGTACCATATTTATACTCTCAACTTGTCATTATTCGAGATTAGTCAGTAATGACATGATTATACAATTATATTCTCTACTTGTTATTGCCTCAAGATTACTTGGCAATGGCTTAATTATATTGTCCAACTTCCACTAGCTATGGCTAGTGAATGATATTGTATACTATGTAGCTGGCAAGTAGATGCTCAATATACATGTATCTATTAGCTCTCAGTGTATACAGATATATATATATATATATCAATATCAATTTTTAGTTTTTATGACATGCTTATGTTTTTCTAAAATTATATGTAGAGAATATATGTATTTTCAATAGAGGGTTAGTTGTTCAGAAAAAAAAAAATTTGTTTCAAAAAACTTTATTTTTCGTCCACTTACATTTTTATGTTTTGTGTCCCCTCATGAATTAGAAGCATTTTATGTAAGCATATACGACGTCGAGGCATCATTCCAGGCTCTAACATATCCTTATCGAGTAGGTTACCTATTCTGCTTTATTTGTAAAACTAGTATTGGACAATTATGCTATGAACCTGTTGTCATGCATGTAAAGGAGGGTCGAAGACATATTAAGGGTGGCCCTTCGGGAATGTGTTGAAATAAATGTGGTTACCTGTGGGTGTTTTACTTTGGGCTTATCTTTGTTTAATTGAAATTCTGCTGAATTTTTGGTAGATTTTATTAGTTGATAACTTTAGTTATGTTTTCATGCATATCATGGTTTGGTCACTCATTTGGGTGATGGCCAATGTGCCTCGGTCTTAGTGTCCATTGAGCACTGGGTTCGGGGTGTGTTGTTAAAGATATTGAATGACTCAGTCCTCAAAAAGTTCCATTGGCTCTAGTCCCCAAAGGATGACTAGGCTCTCTAAAAGTTACATTAATGCCGATATAATGACTCGACTGATTCTTGATGTGGGAATTGGTCTCGTGTGACCCATATAGGGTCACTCGTGATGGAGCGTGTTGAAGAATAGAATCCTACATCAGACATTTGATACAATAATATACAATTAATATATGAGAGTTTCACCCCTAATATTACTGAAGCCTTTTGTGATAAAGCCTAACACCTAATAATAGGTCGTTAAGTTGAAACAATATCGGTGATGTTGGTGGTGAACCATGTTGGGCCTATAAATTTTATTAGTTCAAATGTTGCGTTGTAAAGAATTCTAAACTCTACACACTATTCGTGTTACCAATGGGTTGTTAACCATTTTGGAATTTTTTTTTCACTTTTTTTTAAATTGTAAGCTAAAATCTTGTTTGGTAACTATTTTCAATTTTCAGTTAAAAAGAAAAACTAAAAACTACTTTTTTTGACTTTTCACAATTTGGCCTTGAGTTTTCAATTTTTGGTTTCCAGCTTTTATTTATTTTTTTTTTAAACTGAAGTATTTTTCAAACAATTGAAAACGAAATAGTTATCCAATGATCCATCTAATCGTTTTTTTTAAATGCAAATGGTTTTCTTTTTTTTAAATCAGTCTAAACTTTTAAAAGCGAGATTTGATCTCGATGCATAGAATAAATATATGTACTCTAGCCAATATGATTACAACCTCTCGACAAAATCGATATCCATCCCATTTAATCCGGTAAGGACAAGGTTGGAACTAGCAAATCCAAACCCGTCATCAATTGTTGCTATCTCAAACTGTCTGTCTGGATCATGGTCCAAAAGCACAAGAAGCCCACTTCATTCTCCATTTCATGTTATAAATAACATGACTACGGCCACGTCTGTTATTTGTTCCACAAAATCCAGATCCGTCCTGTTTAATAGAACTACTATTAATTCTACCAATCATGATAGAAGTGATGCAGGACCATCAAACCCGAACGTACACAGACCACATCAGATTAGTACCACCCCTCACAAATTGTTGCTCATCCCTAACAGTCCGTTTCGATCATTGCCCAAAAGTAGAGGAAGCCCACTTCATCCTCCATATCCGGCAATTATTGCCGCCGACGAAATTCCTAAAGCCCACATGGAAGCGAGTAGGACAGCGAAAACAACAACGAACGAACCTGCGCGGCAATATGACTGACGTGGCGAGACCTCATGGGCCATTCAGTACGCAATAATTTCCCACCAAAGCTCACGGCACAATCACCTTCGACGCCCCAAAATTTGACCGCACTCGGATGAGAACTTGGCTGGCAACTGTCTTGATGCCCGGACGCACTTATATGTAATGGATACACGATAATAAAAAATAACGGGTAAACTATACTAATAGTTCATCAATTTTAACTTAATTAGAGTAAGGGTACTTCAACTAAAAATTTATTACTATTTTTCTTAATTCATCAAAATGTGCAACTATGATTTTTTTCGTCAACTTTGTTAGAACTTCCGTCAAAATGAGTAACGTGTCATGTACGTGAGGTTGAATCTAGAGGCAAATATAGAAAATCAAATAAGAAAAATTGTATTAATGATCCCTCAACTTTAATCCAACTCGAGAACTGTTCATTCAATTCTAACCCAATTGAAGCAATGATTCTTCTAACATAACTCATTTTTTGACAGAATTCTGACAGGGTTGACGAAAATGACTATAGCTACACGTTTTGATAATTTGAGAGACCAATGATAATAAATTTTTAGTTGAGGGACCATTGCTCCAATTTGGTTAAAGTTGAGGAGTCATTGCTACAACTTACTCAAAAAATAACTTATACATAATGAGTTTATCATCTTGTGATGCTCATTTTAATAAGAGATGTACTATCCACGCATCTCATTTTACTTCTCATATACTTCTTATTAGTTTCTGTCATTTAATTTTATTAAATTCTTTCAATGGCAAAAAAATTAAAAAAGTACTTGCAAAGTAAAAAAAAAAAAAAAAAAATTGTGATATGACAACTTTTTAATAATGCATATTTATATCATACGTAGTTTTTTCTCACATGACATAATTTATTAGACGGAACGCTGCGGGTAACTGTGATTCGTATCAATGCCAGGAAGAATGGCACTAGTGTAATATAGCTTCAAAGACAAGGGCAATTACGCACCGGAAGCTCCAAGATTCCGCACCTTCGGATATTTGAAGGTCGACAAATGGAGTACAGTCACTTTGAGCGCCTCTAATCAAAACAAAATCTCTTTTTCCCTTTCATTTTATTTTTTGGACTTTTCATTTTTCATAAGCCTCTCTCTCTCCTTTCCCCCCCCCCCCTCTCTCGTCAATCGGAGGACTGGAAGGCTGGAAGCTTCTCTCTGCTCGATCACCGGTCGAGAATCGGCTCTGACCTTTCGGCTTCAGGTGATCATCGACTTTGTTTTCTTCTCTGAATTGAAGTCTCTGGTTTTTTTTTTTTTTTCAGTAGAATTTTCGTCACTGGATTTCTTGAACTTCTTGATCGGAGTCGGATCAAACTTCTTCTTCTCCGCCATATCTGAATTTTGCATGCTCGATTTCGCTTTCTCTTCATTCTGTAAATTCTTCAGTTGCTCGATTTATATCTCTCGATTTTTGTTGACGATAATCTGCAATCGGATCAGCCGAGTTCTGGAATTGAAATTTGTTTTAAAAATTAATTAATAAATTTTTTTCTGTTTGGCTAAAATTTTTACTCGCTTTGTTCATAACTGTGGTAAATTATTTATTTATTTGATTATTTTCTTACAGCGGGGTGGTTGCTAAGATTTTGAGGTCAGCAATTCCCGACGAAGCTTCGTCAAGACGACTTGAAGAGGAAGCAAAAGAGTATTAAGGTAAATATCTTTTCTTCCTATATTTGACTGTCAGCTGGAGTTACAGGTTTAAAGTGGCAATTACGTAATTTAGTAGTTTTTAAAAGGGCAGATACGGAATACAGAAAGTAACGATATGGTTTTTGCTACTTTTAATATATTCGAGCATTTGATGACAATTACTTGGCTTTTAGTTAAATGGAAAGGAAATAAACAAAAAGAAACAGCTCATTTTTCGAATTTTATTTTTGTGTACACACGGCCAACAGCTCATTTTTTTTCAGGTATGCATGTTAGCTGTCTTTTCTGGATCCCAAATCGGCCTTATAGGGGATTCCCCTTTTCTAAAAAGCTGACGTGGCATCAAATTTTGGACTTTTACCAATTTGGATTCACTCAAAATTTTTCTAAAGTAGCCATGTTTTTTTTTTTTTTTTTTTTTTAGTTTCTAATTATTTAGAGATTATTGCACTCGCCCTCTTCACTCAAGTTCGAACAGTTTTTCTTACGTGGTTTGAATATTAGAATTATTACTTAAAATGTTGCTCGAATAAAAAAAAAAAAGAAAATTCCATGTTGGTGTAAGCAAAAATAATTGGGGGTTTCAAATTGAAACAAATTTGAGGAGTAGTTAATAATTTACTGTAATACCTAAATGTATTAATTAGGTGAACTATTGTGTGGTCTTGAAAGACAATCTTCCGAGATTTACTCAAATTTAGAAGATAGGAAGGTGTTCGGATGCATGTTTGACCAAAAAAAAAAAGGTGGTTCGGATGCATGTGGCTTGTATGGTTATAGCTACCATTTGTTTGAAAATGAAAATTTTACAAAGGAAAAGAATAGAATGATGCAACTAAAATTGTTTTTTTTTTTTTAAGCCACCGGCTTAGTTCAGCGGCGACGTTGGATAGGGTGATGGGTAGGTGTAAGCTAGAGATTCTGGGAAACAATGTTTAGAAAAGAAAAAAAAATTAGTTTTTTGTGATGCTACCGAGGATTGGCTACTTAGTACTACAATTTAGTAATATTCCTCTTTACTTGTAAGTGAAAGGTCTTAGATTCGAATCTCGAGAATGGCGTGTTCGCAACCAATTTATTGGTCCACCCCCTTAGTGTAAATATATCTTTGTATAAAAAACAATGGTGCTACGAAGGATTGAAAATCAGTCTAAAATGGATTCAGATTCGGTTGGTTGGTTTGAAATCTGTTGTAGGTAGAGCTCTTGGTTTAGCTTTGTACATGCTTCCTAAAGTAGCTATGGCAAGGACCATGCTAGTTTCCATGTGTAGATTCATGGACAGTAACATTGGTCCATTATTTATTGCACCTTAAAGATGAGACAACGGAGAGAGACTTCCAAAGAATGGGTTGTTGTGAATCCTGTTTCACCCAATTCTTTCTCCTGTGAACTAAACAACTAAACTAGAATGTATAATCTATTGCTTTTCTTATGATAGTTTTAGACACAGTGGAGTGGGGATAAAAACTGAGTAAGAAGTCCATACCTGGATAAACATACTGTACAAACCTCATGACATTGACATGAATAAACAAAGTTAATGACCAGTAGTGTTAAAGGTAAATTGTCAATGTAACTCTCTTCTGAATGCTTTTAGCACTTGATATTATCTACTTACATCTTATGCTTCTACAATGATTTAAAAGGGGAGAATTTTTGTGTTTCAGACTTTGAGCTGGAGATGGATACAGCCTCTTCATAACCCACATCTACTGGGGAAGCGTAGAAATTGAAGCGATGCCAAAGCACCGCGTGGGGGAGTCAATTAAGTCCTTATTTGGAAGTCACATCAATTCACAGAAGCATGAAGAGCTGAAAGGAACTAAAATAGGTAAATTTTCCTGTAAAATTCTGCATTAGGCTTTGAGATGGCATTGCAGCACTATACAATGCAACTGGGATAAACTTCACTATGATTAATATTTTGGTGGATCGATGAAATGGAAATTTAAAGAAGTTTTCTATTTTTACTGCAGGTATTGAGGAGAAGGTGAATAAAATATTGAAGCTTCTAAAAAATGAAGAGCTTGAAAAAGTTGACATCCCAGTAGAGAACTCCAAAGCGGAACCTCTCGCTGAGCTAATTCAGGATTTCCACAAGGATTACCAATCACTGTATGCACAATATGATGAACTAACCGGAGCGCTGAAGAAAAAAGTTCGGAGCAAACAAGAAAAGGACAACAGCTCTTCATCAAGTTCAGACTCAGATTCCGATCATTCTTCAAATGAAAAAAGCAGTAAAAATGGAGTGATGGAAAGTGACTTTCAGAAAATAACTGATGGGATGAAGCAGGAACTTGAATTGGCACATCAAGAAGTTGCTGACCTGAAGAGGAGATTGACAGCTACAAGTGAAGAGAAGGAAGCTTTAAGCTCAGAATGTGCAGCGGCTTTGACCAAGATAGAAGAAAAGGAGAGTGTTGTTATTGACTTGAAGACTGCAGCTGAAAGGTTAGATGCCGAAAAATCACTACTTTTGGTCGAGAATGGTGAGCTAAAACAAAAACTGGAAGCTGGTGGAAAGATAGAAGCTGAATTGATTCAAAAAGTGGAAGATGTGGAAGGAGAGAGAGATAACTTGATTAAGGAGAAAGAGACAGCTCTGAGAACAATTGAAGATGGAGAGACTATTACAGCGGAATTAAGAACCGTGATTGATAGGCTGAAAGATGAAAAAGTAACCCTTGAGCAAGAACTAGAATCTGTTCGAGGGGAAGTCATCCATATAAAGGAGAAGCTGCAATCTGCAGAAGAGCAGGTATCAGATTTAAGCCACAATCTGAAAGCCAAGGAGGAAGAAACCTTGAAAATTGCAGAGATCTCGAATGAGATTCAGCAGGCACAGAACGTGATACAAGAACTCACAACTGAATCTAGTCAGCTAAGGGAGAAATTGGGTCAGAGGGAAGTGGAATATTCGGCTCTGTCTGAGATGCATGAGCTGCATGAGAAGAAAACATTGGCTCAAATTATGGAATTACAGGCTGCTGTGACACGGCTGGAACTGGAGCTGGAATCTTTGCGAGCTCAGAAAAGAGATATGGAAGTGAAGATTGAGAGCACAGAAGCTGAAGTAAAACAACTGGGAGAGGTGAGTGCAGGACTGCAAGTCCAAATTTCAGAAGTTGAGTCAATATCAAATGAGAAAGCAGCAGAACTTTCTGCTCTCACGAAAAAACTTGAAGATTACAAAAGTGAATCTATTCAGCTGAAGGAGAAATTGGGTCAGAGGGAAGTGGAATACTCAGCTCTGTCTGAGATGCATGAGCTGCATAAGAGTAAAACGTTGGCTCAAATTACGGGATTAGAGGCTGCTGTCGCAGGGCTGGAACTGGAGCTGGAATCTTTGCGAGGTCAGAAAACAGATATAGAAGTTGAGATCGAGAACAAAGAAACTCAAGTGAAACAACTAGGAGAAGAGAATGCAGGACTGCAAGCCCGAATTTCACAACTTGAATCAATATCAAATGAGAGAGAAGCCGAATTTTCTTCCCTGGCGAAGAAATTTGAGGACAGCAGTAATGAATATGGTCGGCTACAGGAGAAACTGGGTCAGAGGGAAGTGGAACACTCAACTCTGTCTGAGATACATGAGTTGCATAAGAGTAAAACGTTGGCTCAAATTACAGGTTTAGAGGCTGCTGTGGCAGGGCTGGAACTGGAGCTGGAATCCTTGCAAGGTCAGAAGAAAGATATAGAAGTTGAGATTGAGAAGAAAGAAACTCAAGTGAAACAACTAGCCAAAGAGAATGAGGGATTGCAAGCCCAAACTTCAGAACTTGAATCAATATCAAATGAGAGAGAAGCTGAACTTTCTGCTCTCACCAAAAAACTTGAGGAGATCAATAGTGAAGCTATTCAGCTGAAGGAGCAATTGGATCAGAAGGAAAAGGAATACTCAGCTCTGTCTGAGAAGCATGAGCTGCATGAGAGTAAAACATCAGCTCAAATCCTGGGATTAGAGGCTGCTGTGGTAGGGCTGGAACTGGAGCTGGGATCTTTGCGAGGTCAGAAAGAAGATATAGATGTTGAGATTGAGAACAAAGAAACTCAAGTGAAACAACTAGCAGAAGAGAATGCAGGACTGCAAGCCCGAATTTCACAACTCGAATCAATATCAAATGAGAGAGAAGCCGAATTTTCTTTCCTGGCAAAGAAATTTGAGGACATCAGTAATGAATATGGTCGGCTACAGGAGAAACTGGGTCAGAGGGAAGTGGAACACTCAACTCTGTCTGAGATGCATGAGCTGCATAAGAGTAAAACGTTGGCTCAAGTTACAGGTTTAGAGGCTGCTGTGGCAGGGCTGGAACTGGAGCTGGAATCTTTGCGAGCTCAGAAAAAAGATATAGAAGTTGAGATTGAGAACAAAGAAACTCAAGTGAAACAACTAGCCGAAGAGAATGCGGGATTGCAAGCCCAAACTTCAGAACTTGAATCAATATCAAATGAGAGAGAAGCTGAACTTTCTGTTCTCACCAAAAAACTTGAGGAGATCAATAGTGAAGCTATTCAGCTGAAGGAGCAATTGGATCAGAAGGAAAAGGAATACTCAGCTCTGTCTGAGAAGCATGAGCTGCATGAGAGTAAAACAATGGCTCAAATTACGGGATTAGAGGCTGCTGTCACAGGGCTGGAACTGGAGCTGGAATCTTTGCGATGTCAGAAAGAAGATATAGAAGTTGAGATTGAGAACAAAGAAACTCAAGTGAAACACCTAGCAGAAGAGAATGCGGGACTGCAAGCCCGAATTTCACAACTTGAATCAATATCAAATGAGAGAGAAGCCGAATTTTCTTCCCTGGTGAAGAAATTTGAGGACAGCGGTAATGAATATGGTCGGCTACAGGAGAAACTGGGTCAGAGGGAAGTGGAACACTCAACTCTGTCTGAGATGCATGAGCTGCATAAGAGTAAAACGTTGGCTCAAATTGCAGGTTTAGAGGCTGCTGTGGCAGGGCTGGAACTTGAGCTGGAATCCTTGCGAGGTCAGAAGAAAGATATAGAAGTTGAGATTGAGAAGAAAGAAACTCAAGTGAAACAACTAGCCGAAGAGAATGCGGGATTGCAAGCCCAAACTTCAGAACTTGAATCAATATCAAATGAGAGAGAAGCTGAACTTTCTGATCTCACCAAAAAACTTGAGGAGATCAATAGTGAAGCTATTCAGCTGAAGGAGCAATTGGATCAGAAGGAAAAGGAATACTCAGCTCTGTCTGAGAAGCATGAGCTGCATGAGAGTAAAACATTGGCTCAAATTACGGGATTAGAGGCTGCTGTCGCAGGGCTGGAACTGGAGCTGGAATCTTTGCGAGGTCAGAAAACAGATATAGAAGTTGAGATTGAGAACAAAGAAACTCAAGTGAAACAACTAGCAGAAGAGAATGCGGGACTGCAAGCCCGAATTTCACAACTTGAATCAATATCAAATGAGAGAGAAGCTGAATTTTCTTCCCTGGTGAAGAAATTTGAGGACAGCGGTAATGAATATGGTCGGCTACAGGAGAAACTGGGTCAGAGGGAAGTGGAACACTCAACTCTGTCTGAGAAGCATGAGCTGCATAAGGGTAAAACGTTGGCTCAAATTGCAGGTTTAGAGGCTGCTGTGGCAGGGCTGGAACTGGAGCTGGAATCCTTGCGAGGTCAGAAGAAAGATATAGAAGTTGAGATTGAGAAGAAAGAAACTCAAGTGAAACAACTAGCCGAAGAGAATGCAGGATTGCAAGCCCAAACTTCAGAACTTGAATCAATATCAAATGAGAGAGAAGCTGAACTTTCTGCTCTCACCAAAAAACTTGAGGAGATCAATAGTGAATCTATTCAGCTGAAGGAGCAATTGGATCAGAAGGAAAAGGAATACTCAGCTCTGTCTGAGAAGCATGAGCTGCATGAGAGTAAAACATCGGCTCAAATCCTGGGATTAGAGGCTGCTGTGGCAGGGCTGGAACTGAAGATGAGAACTTTGCGAGGTCAGAAAGAAGATATAGATGTTGAGATTGAGAACAAAGAAACTCAAGTGAAACAACTAGCAGAAGAGAATGCGGGATTGCAAGCCCAAATTTCAGAACTTGAATCAATATCAAATGAGAGAGAAGCTGAACTTTCTGCTCTGACGAAGAAACTTGAGGACAGCAGTAATGAATATAGTCAGCTACAAGAGAAACTGGGTCAGAGGGAAAAGGAATACTCAACTCTGTCTGAGATGCACAATCTGCATGAGATTGAAATACTGGATAAAATAAAAGGATTTGAGTCAGAAGTTACAGGGCTAGCACTGGAGCTGGAATCTTTGCGACATCAGAAGAGTGGCTTGGAAGTAGAGATAAAGAGCAAAGAAACTGTAGCAAAACAACTGGGAGAGGAAAATGTGGGACTGCAAGCCCGAATTTCAGAACTTGAATCGACTTTGAAAGACAGAGAAGCTGAACTTTCCTCTCTCACAAAGAAACTTGAGGACAGCAATCATGAATCGTCATCCAGAATAGCAGATTTGTCTGCACAGATCAATAATCTGCTAGCTGAGGTAGATTCTTTGCGTGCCCAGAAAGTTGAGTTGGAGGAACTTATAGTATCCAAAGGTGATGAAGCATCGACTCAGGTCAAGGGATTAGTGGAGCAAGTAAACGTGTTGCAGCAGGAATTGTTGTCAATGCAGAGCGGGAAAACTGAATTGCAAGTGCAGCTTGAGAACAAAACTCAAGAAGTTTCTGAATTCTTGATACAGATACAAAATCTGAAAGAAGAAATAACAAACAAGATAACGGATCATGAGAGGGTTGTGGAAGAGAAAGAGAGTTTGACGGCAGAAAAGAGAGAGATTGAGATAAAGGTGGACTCAATACACAACCACAAAAGTGAACTCGAAGAGGAGATAAGAACAAAATGCCTTGAGAGTGATCAGTTGAGAGCACAAATTGTTGAGCTAAAGGATCAAATAGTTGAATTTGAGAAGAGACTAACAGAAAAAGAGGCCGAGTTTTCTTCCCTCCAGGAGAAACATGACAGTGCTGTGAACGACGCTTCTGCTCAAATAACAGCCTTTGTGTCACAGGTTACTAGTCTACAACAGGGTTTGGATGCATTGCAGACCAAGAAGAACCAGATGGAGTTGCAGTTTGAGAGGGAGAAACAAGAACTTTCGCAGAGCCTGACGCAATTGGAGAATGAAAAGGTTGAATTAGAGAGCAAGATAGCTGATCATCAGAGACTGCTGAATGAACACGAGGAGACATATGGCAAGTTAAAAGATGAATATATGCAGCTGGAGAGTCATATGCAGGACAGTAAGGTCAACCACGATGCCGCAGAAAGGAAAATCGAGCAAATGGCAGAAGATTTCGGTAAGAAAATTGAATCGAAAGATGAGACAATAGCTGATTTGGAGCAAGAGGCTGAATATCTGAAACGAGATCTTGAAGAAAAAGGGTACGAGCTTAGTTCTTTGGTTGAAAACTCCCGTAATGTTGAAGTTAAGCTCCGCCTGTCAAACCAGAAGCTCCGGGTTACAGAGCAGGTATTGACCGAGAAAGAGGAGAGCTTCAAAAAGGCAGAACTGAAATTCCTGGAAGAACAGAGAGCACTTGAAGACAGGATTGCTAGATTGTCTGGTATAATCTCTGCTAACAACGAAGCCTATCAAAGAAACATCGCACTTGTTTCAGAAAATGTTAACAGTTCTTTGAGCAGAATGGAATCCATGATCAAAAAATTTGTGGACGACTATGCAAAATATGAGACGTGCATTCTGGAAACATCACAGCAGCTTCACATTGCAAAGAATTGGGCTGCAGAAACAAATAGTGTAAGAGAGACGTTGAAGAGGGAGGTGGAGGACCTAATTGAACAACTGCGAGATAAGAAAGAAGAAGCATTGGTGCTTGGAGAGCAGGTCGAGAGGATGCGGGCAAAGGCAAGTAAGGAAGAAGTGGAGAAGGGGAGTCTGATCAAAGCCGTGAGCCAACTTGAGAAGAAAGCGGCGGACTTGGAGAAGGTGGTGGAGGAGAAAACAGAGGGAATGCTGGGATTAGGAGAGGAGAAGAGGGAAGCCATAAGACAGTTGTGCATATGGATCGAGTATCACCAAAGCCGGTACGATCATCTCAAGGAAATTCTCTTGAAGACAACTCCGGCAAGAGGCCAGACGAGGGCCTCGACGTCTCGTCCTTGATAATATTTTTTTTTTTTTTCCTTCGATTGCAATATGACAGTTTTTAGTCCCTTTGCATCATGAATTTTTTTTATTGATTCCATTTTTTGTGTTTCTTTTGAAGGCTAGTGTTTATAAAGCATTTTAGGTAGAGCTTGGAACGTATATGCGCGAGTTTGCTTGTAAATTTTGCTTTTGTTCTTGTCCATTTAATGCAGTCATGTATAAAATGCAGATGGTTCTTTGTTAACCTCATTTGCACCGAATGTTACTGGTTTGGACGAAAAATAAGATATTTCGAATCCATCAACACATACACAATCACGTTATCTGTAAATGTAATATTCAAAGATTGGCACAAAATCTTCGAACTTCAAGTGCAAAAGTTCCAACTCATCCCTCGCAAAACTGCGGTTTTGGCGAATCCATGTATTATACAGCGTCACTTTTAGTTTGCCAACTGATTCGCTCAAAAATGCCCGCAGTATACAAAATTACTCGTATTCTGTAGAAATCAATCCATTGTAATGCATCATTTCCTTGAAAGATAATACTTATTGTCACAATGCCAAAGCATATGAATAGGAAAGCTAAAAGCTATAGTCGTTCGGCTGAAGACAGATAAGTGTATAAGATGGATGGGAAGGACTATCAACATGGGCTATACGTCTGCTTCTAAACTTCCTCCTAGAAATTATTAAAAAATCCCGACACTTTACCTTCTCCTACGCAGTCCATTCCCGCTCATTTCCGGATTTAGAACAGAAGTTAAACATGTGGCTCACGGTTCTCTATGCTTTTAGTCAGATATCCTCATCTCAACTCCAAGAACGTCCTTCACTACCTCATATGTGACAAAAGCAATTGCTATGGAAGGTACCACCTAAAAGAACAAAAATGCTTTGTAAAGCTTGGATAGAAGATAAGTATGCAAAGATAAGCTAAGATTTTAATTTCGATTCCAGGATATGCCCTTAAACACTGACCTTAACAGAGTTTGGAACCAAACCCTTGTACAGTGCTCCAAACCCCTCATGACGGACTGTTTTCCTGAATGCATCAACCATACCAGTATATTCTAGGGATGCCCTGCTTTTTCCATCACCAACGACAACCGAAGCAGCATCCTTCCAGCCTACCATCTGCATTCTTCTCCGGATGACATCGAGAGGGTAAGCAACCGTCTGGCCCACAGTCCCAGCAGCAGCCCCACATGCAAGCCTCGTAAGTACACTCAACTCAGAGTCCTGGACTAGTCCAAAAGGTCTACTTTTGATCAACCAATCTTTCAGAGATTCATAAACAGCAAAATTGAGACCAACATACGGTACCTGTAAACAGAATAGAAAACATTTAGACATCTCATACAGAAATGCGAATAAAACCTTTCCTCGCACAATATTACCCTAAAAAAATATCCCATCAGAACTATAAATCATCATCTACACTCATCAAAGTGCAGATTACGACAATGGAAATGTTAATGAATGAACCAACGATTTGATAGAGGATTCTATTTATTTTAGCACCATAGAGAATACAGAAATAAACAAACACTTCACTTACAACTCCTATGACAGAAGGCAGCCAACCTCTGTACAGAGCCCGGGGTCCTTCTTCCCTAAAGACGGTTGTGAGAGCATGATATATTCCCCTATATTGCCGAGGCGACATGTCTGTCTGAAGAAATAATAAAGTTCAAAAAAATTTAAGCCATCAAAGTGAACATGTAATAGTAATTTAGTGGATCACAGGAAGAAATCTCTAAATTATACCTGGACAGTTAAACGACCTCGTACCATGTCCATTGGGTAAGTTGCTGACATGGCAATAATTCCAGCACATGCACCAGCTCCAAGGCGTAATACAGGTGTGAGTTGAGCATCTTCTGCAAGAGATGAACAACAAATATCACTCTAGAAATCCATTAAGGCCACAATTTTCATAATTTTTTCCCAAAATTGGATCTTTAAGACATACATTTTACATGAGGGAAGAACTTGACCACAGAGAGCACACAACTGATTCAAAGTTAACCAAAGAAACTCATTGGCAATCAGATCTCAGACAACAAACACAGACTGAATGAATTCAGCCCAGGAAATCAAAAAATTTAATTTACGTGCTTCTCTAGGTGGAAAACTACAAAACACAAAAGGGGATGGTTTGAATTGTTTAATAATCCAAGCATCAATCAATACTACTATTCCTACCCCCAAGAACCTTCAAGTTATCATTGACAAGCTACACAATGAGGATAAGACTGGCACAGTTGCCTAGAACTGTGAAAATTAGTTTGAATTGATTCATTCCAAATGAAGCCACCAATAATTTCATGGTAATTGACTTTGCATAAGAAATAGGCACGAGGTGGTCATACCATTTCCAGTTTGCTGTCGGTAGAACCATAAAATACCCCTATTTGGACAAAGTACATAAAGGTGAAAAAGTTATCAGAATGCAGCTGACAGGAAATATAACTGCCAATACAAATCAGTACACATATTAAAAAATTGTGGGGGTGGTGTGGTGGTGGTGGTGGTGTTGGAGAAACTGGACATGGAGAAGCATACTTTGATGCTTCCTCGTAGCTAAAGAACTTGACTGCTGAATTAGGGACTATGCGAGCACAATTAGTTCCATTGCCTTTAAACAAGCCTCTGAAACCCTCAGTCCTCCATATGTACTTCAAGCCCTGAATCGTCCCTTTGTATTTAATACTATGAGGGTTTTGAACCTGCATTTATGGAAGATGCAAATCCAATTTAGTTTGACTTAACATAAAATGCTTAGGTCCTCGTCAACCCCACCCACCCCGGTACCCCAAAAAAAGAGAGTATTGATTAACATGCATTCAATTACAGTGATAAAGGTTTCATAAACAGAGTATTGACTAAGGATCAAATGGTACATCACTAAATTTCCCGTATGTGCAAATAAGAGAATTACCTGCAGCAAAATTTTTAATCTTTCCAATGGAGCAACAGCAGTTCGTGACCTGCACCGGGTAGTCAATACCAGATAGAGAAGCGTAAGGTTTGAAGTTCACCCACATCACTCTTGTTGCATGTAACACAACACAACAATGCCTATAGACAACTACATTCATGCATAACACATAACTATTTGTTCTTAACACTCAATGATCTAAAACCCATTCAAGAAAGAAATAGCAACTCCGACAACAAGGAGTGGGTGCTTCCTGTTAAGAAAACAGCATAGAGATCATAAAACATACAATCTTCACACAACAAGATCCCATTTCCTCGTCAAGTGTTCCATCCATTTCCTACAAGTATTTTCGTTTTGAAATACATAAAGACATAATACGACTCCTTACAATATACTTCCAACAAACATTGAGATTCAACTACATCATTGTTAAATACTGCTCTTCCATGAAAGACTAGAATCCATGAAATTTAAAAAAGGTTTTCCATTTCCGGGCAACCAAGCATTAAGTCCAATTTCATCCCACAAGTTTTTGAAAAATCACAGAAAAAAAAAAACCTACAGCAAATTCAGCATAAAAACAAACCAAAGCAAAAGGAGTAAAGCAAAGCAATCGTATACACCCACAAAAAATAAAAACTTTATAATTTCTACTTATTAAATAGAAAAAAATCAGTATTTGCTACGAACTCACACTCCACCGGCAACTCCTCCGGCAACGAGGGACTTGGCGATGCTAAGCAAGACATGGCCGGTCGGCGCCTTCACTCCTTCGCTTGCGAGTTTCGCCTCCTCGGCCAGGTTCACAATCGTCGACACCGCGGAATCACTCGTCCTCTTCACATCCTCCGACGCCATTAAACCCCACGCACAACACACGCACAGAGAGAATCTCAACGGGTCGCCAGAACCCTAGGAAGACTCCCGGACCAATCCGCGTCCAATTCGATCAACGAGATTCCCAGCGATTTATCGGCGAGTCTGCGGCCGCAGGTGTGCGGACTGCGGAGAGGAGGCGTGCCGTTGGGTACGAGAACGCGATTATATATGTACGACAAAATGATTTGGTCGTTGAGGGTTATATATGTACGGCCGTCGTCACTATAACCAGCACATTACTACTACTGCTACGCTGCTTTTACTATTTTCTTTTATTTACTTTATTTACTTTTTTTGGGTTTTGATGTTTTTGGTTGGTGTTTATTTCGTAGGAAGTTGCGAATTTAGGAAACAGAAATGATTCTTTATAGACTTTATGTCTCTTCATTATTTAACGTTAATTTTCGTGTTAATATAATAAAGTATTGTGTAAAAAACATGAAGTAAAAGAAAAGTCTACAGAAAATCTTACTTTTGAAAAAGTCTCTTTTCCATTTCTCGAAAGAAAATAGGTTTCTAGTTGTATCGTACGCGTCATCGCATTTTTACCAGACGGGCTTGCCTTGTTTGTTGGTAGTTAGTGTGATTAATGGTTCTGATCAGTTGATATGGAAAAAGATCAAAATGTATGGTTCATGATGCTACTGACCGGCCAACATATTCATCATTCATAAGAGTCGAATTTGATATTCTACTTGCAAATACAAATGATTAATACTAGACTGTAATGATAATAATAGAGCAACACTATATACTTTAAAATTGAAAAAAATTCCATGTTGAAGTGAAGTAGTAGAAGTAAATTTTATTTCTTTATGCATAAATAAAAAATTTAGTGTAACACTAGTATTATTATCTATTGACGTTTCTTTCCAAGTGTAAAATAAGGTCTCAGGCATGACCCTCATGAACCACAGATTTAAAATTTATTAGTATTGCTTTGATGCTTGATTGTGAATAGTATTCAATTAATCATATTAAGGTGAAAAAGTTCATTTTATCAACCAATTTGGTGCTTGATGGCCACATAAATCAATTAAGAGAAGAAAAAAAAGTTAATTCCATCTATCAATAATTATGATTATGGTGTAAGGGGAGCATAACTTAATCAGTTAAGAACATTCATTTTTCCATTTGACGATTTAAGTGCTAATATCGTCTGTATTTGTTCCTCCTCTTATAATAAACATTTGTAGTTTTTGTATATGTAGTAGTTGTTTAGGAGTTTACAACAATTGCCTGTTTTAGCAAACTGGTTAGAGATTATTTTCTTAGTTACTACAACATTATATTCAATTGACACTTTTATATTTATTTTAATTGATCATTGAAAATTTCAAACTATTGTTTCTTGTAAAAAAAAAAACATTGAAAAATGTTAAGGGGACTTTCAAAAGTGGGACGTTTCATCGACTCTCT